GGTAGGAGCCTCCACCCCTGCCTCCTCCCCTGCCTCCTCCCCTCCTGACCCTCTCCCCCAGCCTCTAGAGGACAGCCAACTCCACGATGCTCTTTGCTCTGACCTCCAAAACCTCATGTTCACACACCGTTTCTCCTCCCCGCTGTAGGAGACTACTGGATCGACCCGAACCAGGGCTGCACCTTGGACGCCATCAAAGTTTTCTGCAACATGGAGACGGGCGAGACCTGCGTCTACCCCAACCCCAGCAGCATCCCCAAGAAGAACTGGTGGACCAGCAAGACCAAAGACAAGAAGCACGTCTGGTTCGCAGAGACCATTAACGGCGGTTTCCACGTAAGCATCCCAGCTGGGTTGGTGCCACACACCGAGAGCAGGAAGGGAGATTGAGCAGGAGGTGGTGTTGGGTGTCTGGTTGGAATGTCCTTCCTTGGGGTTGTGTTGACACAAGGGACTAGGTGCTTTGGAGGACTATATTGAAAGGTTGGAGTTGGGTAAGTAGGGCTGTGATTTTTGCAGCCATCTAGGAAGATGTGGAAGATGTGTGTTTAGCCATCTAGAAGTATGGAAGTTCCCTCAAAAGGTGGCTGAAAATAGGGTCATTGTAACACCCCCAGGTTTTAACGTCTCACCTCTTCCCTCCAGTTTAGCTACGGCGATGAAGACCTGGCTCCCAACACTGCCAACATCCAGATGACCTTCCTCCGCCTCCTGTCCACCGAAGGCTCCCAGAACGTCACTTACCACTGCAAGAACAGCATCGCCTACATGGACGAGGAGACGGGCAACCTGAAGAAAGCCATCCTCATCCAGGGATCCAACGACGTGGAGATCAGAGCTGAGGGCAACAGCAGGTTCACGTACAGCGTCTTGGAGGACGGTTGCACGGTAAGTCCACAGGCGCCTGCAAGGGGAAGATGTAGATGATGAGTTGGGGTTGAACCCATGAGGTCGCTGTTGGTTTGGAGGGCTCAAGAGCATCTCATAACATCCTTCCTCCGTGTTTTCTCCCCAGAAACACACTGGCAAATGGGGCAAGACAGTCATTGAGTACCGATCGCAGAAGACCTCGCGCCTGCCCATTGTAGATATTGCACCTATGGACATTGGTGGAGCCGATCAGGAGTTTGGCGTGGATATTGGCCCAGTCTGCTTCTTGTAAAAAGAATTGTTTTATTTGTGTGTTTGTTTGTTGTTGTTGTTTGTTGTTTTTTGGTTTTGTTTTGTTTTTTAAAAAATCCAGCCCAATACCATAAAAGTAAACTAAAAAAAAAAAAACAACAACCCACCCCAAACCCACCCCGAGGACCTGAGTACCTTCCAATCGCTCGTACGACTTCTGCACTGAATGGCTGCAACGACCCCTCGATTCACGCCCTTCCGTCAGGGACCACCGCCTCTTTCCAAGGCCGTCCAGGCAGGCTGCGAAATTAAAAACAGAAAAAAAAAAAACCAACCAACAAACCCACGGTCTTATTTATTTATTCTCTTCCTGTAAGACCTATTTTTTAGGTCAGGTGGAGGTGGGAATCTAACTGGCAGGTACGACGGCCCTTCCCTGCAAAAGGGATCTCGCAAATCCAGGTATCACGAATCCCCTCCCGTCCCCATCCCTCCCCCTGTGTATCACCAGCAGGAGTGCTAATGTATAAATACAACAAAACAAAAAAATAATAATAATGGTGCTATTCTTGTAAAACAAGTCTGTATTTTTTAACATCAGTTGATATAAAAAAAAAAAAAAACTTTTGGTGGAAAGTACAAGGCGATCTGGGCGTTGTTTTTGTCAGTGTTTGCTGTGGTCTAACGTCTTTCTCCCCATTTCTCAGCCATGATAAAGGAAGGTTTTGGGTCAAATCCCCAACTTTTCTGGGTTGGGGCTACCTCAGAGGGAAAAAAAACACAACAGTGAAACAACTAAATCCCCCCAAAAGCCAAAAAAAGGGAGGGGAAACCTCTTTTAAAGTGAAAAATCGTGAAACACCAGGAGCCAACACCACAGCACGAGGTTTCTCTTAAGGGATCCCTTCTCCCACTGCAGCCCGAAACAGAACTGGTATGAGTCGAGGCAAGCATTAGAGTCACCAGTTGAAGGAAACCAGTAAAACCAGTGGGGAGGGGGATGCTGGGCCCCATCCTCATGCAAATCCATATGGTGGTGCCCTCTAACCCTCCTCCTCATCCTCAACACGGAATTTATCCCATTTTATACCTGTAAAAAATGTAATTTCAGGATATAATTTGCGATACTGAGTGCAGTAGAGTCACAGCCATTGCACGTAAAGCAGCTGTGCCTTTATGGCTTCATAAAAAGTTACATATGTAAATTCTTCTCTTGCTAATTAGAGGAAAAGATTCAGTAGTTGAGTTGTTTGCATTTATTTTTTATTATTATCTTAAAGGAAAGTAGCCCACTGACCCCACAAGAGTTACGACCGTGCCTGAGCTTTACATGCAGGATGTAACGGGCAGCAGTTGACTGGGCAGTTTAGGAGTTTTATGACAGTGCTTTTGTAAAAACCTCAGCTTTTTGCATCCCTTGATAGCAGAGGCACTGCAGTTTTTCATTAAGAGAAATTACGACTTTAAAGGATTAAAAAAAAAAAACCAAACCAAAAACACACCCAACATGCTACTTTGGGGCCCTCATCTCAATTTTAAACACTCACAGCTGGCGACGCAGCAGCAACCGCTCCTGCTAGAGCACCTGAGGATCTTTAAAAAACATTGGCAGAGGAAATTCATTAGAAAGGATTGGGGGATTAGGAAGGATTTTCAAAATAAAACACCCTTTAAAAGGCCAAATACTTTGCCACATGACCCGGAGGGCACCCCTAATTATGAGAGCTCCGGCTCACCCCTGCCGCACAACTAATTCGGGGCAAAGCTGCCTCTGTTCAGCCAAGCGGTGGGTTTAGGGTTCCTGCTGCAGGCACCCAGGGAGCACCCCCCCAAAAAATAATCACCCAGTGGAAATATCAACCCTGTTTGTAGGACTGGGCCCTGAGGGGCAGGAGAGTGTGGGGGTCTCTCCAAGACAGCGACACGGGTGGGGAAGGCAATGTAGGGGAGCAGGAGGCTGCATCACCCCGCAAGGAGAAACCGCATCTCAGCTGGGAGTGAGCACCGCCAGGAAACAACACAGGTGAAGAGCAAAGCTCGCGATTTCCTCATTTTCCTTAAAAAAGGAAAGTTCAACTTATGATAAATCAGGCTTGGGGGGTTACGAAAGCTAACGAGAAGCTCGTGATGGAGATGAGCAGGGAGTGGGTGGGGTGACAGGCACTGAAGGGAAGTGGGTGACTCCTGTCACTGGTCCCAGCTCCTCTAAGCGGGGGGACAGGGAGGTGGTTTGCTGCTCTCTGGCTGAGTTTCTTGGTCCCCACTCCCCAAAAATCATCAGGAAGAGAACAGGTATTTCTGGGCAAAGGATGAGATGACACCACTCACACCACAGAGCGCTAACTCTAAGGCAAAGCTCGATTTCTACAGGGACTCTGAATTCCTCAAACAAAGGGCAGCGTGCAGTAAGGTACAACCCAGCTTTAATCAGTAGAATTCAGTTCTAGCACCCCTGCTAGGCAGAAACACCGCTTCTTACAAAAAAGGCAAAGTGCATTTTTATTTCACACTCGCACAAAATAAAGTATCCTTCACTGAAAACCTTTTCTCTTGCAGCCTTTACCTGCGCTTTGTTTACACACACACTTGCACAATCTCACATCCAAGAGGCGGCCGGAGAAAGGGGTCGGTGCAGGCAGGGAGGAAACGAGGGCAGCGGTAGCCATCAAATTCCAGAAAAACTACAAAGGGCAGCAGCGGAATGAAATCCTCCAAGCTGCAAATGGCGCGAGTCCGCAGGGAGAACCGCAGCGGGCTGAGCTTTCACGTTTATTAGCTTTAAGAGCACAGTTGATACCATCCGCGAGGACAGCCGGCTCCTGGGAGGCAAGGCTTTGAAACTCCCAACTCCCACAAAAATCAGTTTAAATCCGCACTTGTTCACGGCAGGCACAAGTACAAAGCGACACCGAGCTACAAGTTCCCCGATTTCAAACCCCAGAGGCCCCGCAGCTGCCGAACGCGGGGAGAAAAAGGTTCAGAGCCACATGTGGAGGAGGAGGAAGGTCTAATTCACAGGGAGCCTTCACGCGTCCCCAGCAGCGCTGCACTTACTGAGGTCGTCTTCATTAAGGCGGCGCTTTGGTAGGGGTTTGCTGTAGGTGGCCTCAGCTGCCAACAAACAGAATCTGCGCAACAGAGGAAGCTTGTTTCGAAGGTTTCAATTCCTTTGCCTCCTTCTAGTGCAAGTTACAGAAGTGAAAGCCTCATCTGTGTGTTCCTTAAGAGAACTATCCCTTTTTATCAAGCCCTGCTTTGAAACAAGCCAGTGACACGCTGCCACTGAATAAAAAGTGGAATAAATTAATTGGACAGAATTAGTTTACTCTGAAAGGACTCGACGCAGTGCTAAGCGTCAAAACAGCTGCAAAAATCAACCCTAAATCTTTGGGATCTTCAGACCCCAAAGCATAAAGCTTGAGAGTCCAGTGTCCCTACCAAAAAAAACCCTAGTTCTTCGGAACAGAAGAGGAAGGCAGGCGCAACAGGACCCTGACTTTGGGAAGGGACCTGTGTGCTCGCACATGAACACCACCCCAAGCGGGTTTTGTGGACAGGCCAGCAGCACAGCCCAGCTGCACGTGGAAGAGCATGAAAGGGACCCAGAGCTTTCAAATATCGCCCACCAAAGTCACTCGCGGTCCCTCCGCTTCTGTTTGAAAGTTCCTGGTCCTTTCTAGGAATCCATCTGCATGATCAACCACCCACGGAAAGCATCAGCTGCGCCCTCAGGGCTTGCTCTTGGCTTTGGCTGCATCTCCCATGGAGGGGGACAGCAGAGGCAGCAGGTCCTGGGCAGCCGTGGAGTTGGTACTGCAATCCACATAGTGGTACGTTTCCAAAGCGCTCTGCGTCACATGGCCAATGTACGAGAGCTTCACTGATGTCCTGGGAGAGGGGGGAGAGCAGTTTAGCAGGGACAGGACCAGCGACAGCAATCCCTCTATCAAAATAACAAACCCAGCAGGTTTTACACTCATCACGTAACTCCTCTTCCCCCTCAAAAGCTGCAGAACCTCTCAGATTTTTGCTCAAGATCGCTCCCTGCAGCAGGCAGGGATACGCAGAGCTGGCAAACGCAGCTCTCTGGGGCACACCACACCTCACGTGTAAGCTCAGCACGGAGCAACCTGGTGTCTTCTCCCCTCTATCTTACATTTCACCCAACTGTGTCAACCGGCCTGGATTAAAAGCTGACACAGTGAACCAGGCTGGGGTGCTTGCCAAGGGGGATTTTCTTCGTGTACCCTAGATTTGCTGCGGCAGCAATTCCCTTTTGAGTCAGGAGCCGAGCAGAGAACCACCTACCTCATGAAGATCACTATGTTATGTACCTTCACCTTGGGAAACGTGCAAAAGAAACTGGAAAAGACCAAAACAAAGAAATAGGTCAGCACGGGCTAAGCAGGGTTGCAGAGACACTTGCGTTTCTCGGTATCTTCTGATGATATTTTCCCTTTGGTGCCAACTCAACTCGAGACACCGTCCAAGAACCACATCACAACATCCCGACAAAGCAGCTTTTCAAGTCATTTCTAGCAAACAGTTACTTTCCAGGAAGCAAGCAGAAAACAAGTAATTTCCAGAGCAAATTCTAATTAAAGCAGCTTAAGCCTGCCCTCTCCCACAGAGAGTAGTCAATCCTTACTACACATAGAAGAAAGGTCCACCCAGCTCTGCCCTCACAGTGAAATTCACCTGTAAAAGAGAAAAGAAAAATGCATTCAGTTGCTGCTCAAGTACTCATTTAAATCCACCCCTTCCAGAGTCTTTCCCACCTTGTGTGCCTAAAGCATAGGCTACTCTAGCCAGGAGACTGTTTTGCCAAGCAAAGCTTTAAGGTATAGGTAGACTATCGTCAAGTTAACTCGCCATAGCATACAGGTTTCATACTAGATTTGGTGATGCTTAGATTGTAAGTGCAATGAAAGATGAATACCAGTTTGTCGCTCAGCGGCTGGATGCTGGAGACGTTGGTGATCTGCTGGGTTCCCACCACAGTGTTCATGTACTGCACCTGACTAGTCAAGCTGGTCACTGTCACCGAGTA